CTTTGTTCTGTTTGAACAAGTGCCTCCTAGTCTATGTAGAGGTTCCTCATGAGCACAATTAAGTGTCCTGGAATTCCTATTCTTTGCAATGTTAGCCATAATTTGTCATGATCCGTACAGTCGAATGCCTTTGCATAGTCAATAAAACACAGGTGAACATCTTTCTGGCATTTTCTGCTTTCAGCCAGGATCCATCTTACATCAGCAATGATATCCCTCATTCCAGGTCCTCTTCTGAATCCGGCTTGAACTTCTGGCAGTTCCCTGTCGATGTACTCCTGCAACCGCTTTTGAATGATCTTCAGCAAAATTTTGCTTGTGTGTGATATTAATGATATTTTCGATAATTTTCACATTCTGTTGGATCACCTGTCTTTGGAATGGGCACAAATATGGATCACTTCCAGTCAGTTGGCAGAAAGCTGTCTTCCAAGTTTCTTGACATAGACAAGTGAGCACCTCCAGCGCTGCAACTGTTTGTTGAAACATCTCAATTGGTATTCCGTCAATTCCTGGAGACTTGTTTCTCGCCCAGTAATGAAGGTAAAATAGACATTTGCAGATAAACAAAAAGAAAGTTTGCCAGTTGCTTCACACCCTTGTTGATATTGGGTGTTGCCAGGCTTTTTCATTTATCAACCATCCTAGCAGATTTGAAGTAGTAGTTCATTTTAATTTGCATTGCCTTTATGTCTAATTGTTGGTAACTTTTCCATGTACTTACAGGCTCGTTTGTGTACCTTCATTTTGAAGTGTTTGCGCAAGTCTTTTATGTATTTTTTTTTTAATTGGGCTATCCTTTTATTATTGAGTGGTAGGAATTCTTTGTAAGTTCTCTGTCAAATGTACGTATTTAAAATATTTTCTCTTTCTCTGTGGCTTACCCATCCACTTTCTTAATGGTGTTTTTTGGTAAGCAAAAGTTTTTAATTTTGATGGAGTCTTTATCAATCTTTTTTTGTTTTATAGTTAGTGCTTTCTATGGTCTAAGAAACCATTGCCTACCCCCAAGATTGTTAAGATATTATCTTTTCGTCTAGAATCTTCATAGTTTTAGCCCCTAAAATTGTGAGTTCCAGAGCAAGAGTACAAATCAGCCCATGTCCCACCCCTATTCTCTTCTACACCCAGCTGGGGGGCTAGAGCCAGTTAAGAAGCTTTTGCAGGCTCTGGAGGTGGGCTCAGGACCATTTGGGCAGTGAATGCCAGACCCAGGAATCTGGAGCATGGTTCAGAAGAGTGGCAGGGCACACATTTCAGAGGAGTGTCTCCTTGGTTCTTCGAACTTCTTTGTGCTTAAGGAGGGGTACTGCAGGAAGAAGGCCAGAATGGGGCCTGTAAGCATGAGGCTCAGGGTGGGACACTGGTGTCCCAGGTCTAAGGAAGGGCTGCATTGACTGGGGCCCAGTGAGAGCTGGTCAGTGGAGAGGGACCATCACGTAGGAACTGTCTCTATGGAGGATTAGAACTACAGTCAGAGACATGGTACCAAAGCAGGGAGGAGACAGGAAAGAACACTCTTGACTTCTCGTCTCCTCTGATCTCCTGCTGGTGCCTCCATTTGCTGAACCCCACCAGCACCAGCTGGCAAGGAAGCCCAAATGATGCAATCCACAAAGGTCGGCAAAGAAGGGTAGAGAAAGAGTGTTTAAGACAGGAAGAACAGATTGTAGCCAGCACCCCCAGACATGAACCAGACACCCTCCTCCCTGGACCACAGGCTGAGTGGAGCCTGAATCCCCTTGGCCATCTCAATTCTTCCCGTGATGCATTCTCTCTATAGCTATTCCACCACCGCCTTACCAGAGGTACTTACCTGGGCCTACTGCAGGCCTGGCTTTCAGAGGACAATGAATGAAAAAGCAACTTGCACAATTTATTTTCTTCCTAGATCCCGTATGCTTGAAAATTATAGAGCCTAGCCCAAACCACCTGCCCTGCCACGCCCTATTCTCCCAGTCCTCTCATCCTTCTTCGGCTCAAGCTCTAAATGACCTGTACTCTCACCTAAGCTAAGCTCAGTAAACTGCAGTGCAGGGGGTGGAGGCAATACTGACACTGCTCAGCACAGCTGGGAAAGGGGTAAGGCTAGGTCTGGGGATAGTCTTACCACCTGGGAGACGTTATTATTATTTTTTCCCATACAAAAATTTATACATACATTGTTATGTGACCCTAACTACTCTCCCCATACTCTGACAGCACACTCCTCCTTTCTACCCGATTCCCCATGTCCATTCAACCAGCTCCTAATCCTCTCCACCTTCCCATCTCACCTCCGGACAGAAGCTGCCGTTTAGTCTCTTGTATCTACTTGAGCTAAAAGGCACACTCCTCGAGTTATCACTCTATGTCCCACAGTCCAGTCCAATCCCAGTCTGAAGAGTTGGCCTTGGAAATTGTTTTAGTTCTGGGCTGATAAGAGAATCTAGGGCCATGCTTTCTGGGGTTCCTCCAGTCTCAGTCAGACCATTAAGTCTGGTCTTCTTACTAGAATTTGTGTTCTGCACCCCGCCTTTCTCCTGCTCCATCTGGGACTCTCTGTTGTGCTCCTGTCAGGGCGATCATTGGTGGTAGCTGGGCACCATCTAGTTCTTCTGGTCTCAGGCTGATGAAGTCTCTGGTTTATGTGGCCCTTTCTGTGGGAGGCGTTATTTTTGACTTATTTTGAAATAATTATAGATTCACAGGAAGGTGTAAAAAAATATGCAAGGAGGTCCCGCCTCCCCCAACAGTAGCATCCTTGAATAAGGAGTAGTGTACCAATACCATGAAACTGAGATTGCACCTATTTAGACTTCACCAGATACACATGCAGTTATCTGTGTAGTTCTGGGCAATTTTATCACACCTGTAGCTTCAAGATGTATCACAATCAAGATGCAGTAGTGTCTACCATCACAAGGATCCCTCCGGCTGTTCCTTCAGACACTCCCACCAACCCCCTCTCCAGTCCCTGGCAACCACTAATCTGTTTTCATCTGTATCACACAATATTTCAAGAATGTCACGTAAATGGCATCACACAGTGTGTGACCTTTTGAGTTTGCCATTTCATTCAGCATAATTCCCGGGAGGTCCATCCAAGTTGTTGCATGTCCAGGTAGTTGACTTCTAATACATCTTGCCCATTTCTGCATAGGGTTTGCCAGTACCTACAATTAGTATCCCACTGGCGATGATGGCTTTTTCCCAGTCTTTCTGTTTGCTCAATAAGCACTGAGTTCCTCCTATGTGCCAGGAAAGCACTACGGATAAAGAGATGAATCAGATATATATTCTCAGACTCTGATGACTTTAAAGTGCGGTGGAAGAATCTTACACCTCTTTAGGCCCTCAGACTGGTTTACCTTGAGCTATATAGCTGTCTTAATTCCCCTATTAAAATAAGGTCTTTAAACTTTATAGGATACTCATACCCTTTCCCCATGCAGTGTCCAACACAGTTCCTTACATAGAGTATGCATCCAAAAAATAAAGTATTTATTGTAGTTAAAGAAGCATATTTTGGTCTCTCAAAACACTGACTTGAAGCTAATAGGAAATTTTGCACATTTTTTTCTATAGAGATGAGAGGGTGGGGTAATGTAATGATCATTTATAATAGGGTTCTCCAAAAAGTCTCTATCTTTGAATACTACTTTAAATCTACTTTCATAAATCATGAACAATGCTGAGTTTGAAAAGCTATTACTAATTAAAGGGGCCTACATTTTAGAAGCCAAATTGGACAAGGAGAAGTTTTTGATTATTAGTCCAAAACTTAATGAAACATTTAATCAAATATAGCAATAAAATAAATACTTGTAAAGGCTTAACTAAAAAGATAAAATAAAAACAAACTTTAGTAGAACTGAAGACAATACAGAAAGGGGTAGATTTTGTCAATACAGTGGCTAAAAGTATAAGTAGTCCCCAACTTACAACATATTCGTTATGAAGAACTGCACTTATGACTTGTCTGGGTTTCTTTTTTGTACATCTTATCGTTAGTAATATGTACTACATACAATGTTGCAAGACATAATTTGCCAATGTTATCATTCTCAAACGTTCACTTGCAGATGTTCAGTGTCACGATTTACTGTTCAAAACACTGCCATATATATAAACAGGCTATGAAAACTAAAAAAAAAAAGAGGTATTCGACTTAGGTCAGAACCAACTTATGATGGAGTAGTTGGAACGAAACCCTGTCGTAAACTGGGGGACTACCTGTATTTAAAAAGAGGAGCAACTTCAAAAAAGAAAACAAAAATCCAAAATAGGAAAAAATTTATTCAAAGTACTTATCAGTAAGAGTTACAGAAACCCTGAATATCATTCCTCTACTACCCTGGTGGTGCAGTGGTTAACAGCACGGCTGCTAACCAAAAGGTCAGCAGTTTGAATCCACCAGTTGCTCCTTGGAAACCCTGCGGGGCAGTTATACTGTCCTATAGGGTCGCTATGAGTCAAAATCGACTCAATAGCAACAGAACGGGTACCAAGTGTTTTTCTAAAAAGGAAAAAGGACAAATACTCCCATCATTACTCAAGTCAACTTTACTGTTCCTATAGCATTATCATACAAATGGAAAGTTCTAAATAATCTCAGCCCCTTGATTCCGAGCAGTCCAGAATGGAGGCACACCCAACATCACAGCTTAGAAGTAGAGTTCCTCAACCGCTCGTTATATCTTGATTTAAATTCAGAAGAGTGCTACAAAAGAAGTGCTGCCCAAACATTTGTAGTAACTGTTAAATGGGAGACTATTTTGTCCTGTAAGCCTTCATCTTAAGTGAGAATAACAGCACAATTAGAAGAGCGTAGTCAATGTCACTTAAATGTGTATGTAAAAAAATTTTTTGAAATGGCGTATCTTTGGCTATGTGTATTTTCACCAAAAAAAAAAAAAAAAAAAGTTGAGAATTTAGAGGGTTAAAATGTTGTGGGGTTGTTAACCAATGTCATAAAACAGCATGTGTGTTACTGTTACATGAGAAACTATCTGTTCTGTAAGCCTTCACCTGAAGTACAATAAAATATTAAAAAAAAAAAAAAGAAGTGCTGCCCACAGAAACCTTCTGCATCTTAAGTCGAGGTATAGAGAACAAGATAGGAGGACATTTTTTCTCTATTTCCCCTTTCCCACACCTTTGCTTTATAATTAGGAAAAGCCCTCAGTGCAAGTACCCAGATGCCTAGAAGAGGGATCCAGTGAACTAGCAAAATGCAGACAAATCTAGACAATGTGGCTCCCAGAAAGGACTTTTGGTCTGATGGTGATTCTTCACATTTCTGACATTAGGAAAACAAGGCAGTATGTCTTCTGTGCTATTTCTGATCAGGACTGCTCCTTCAGTTCTGCTGGTCTCCACTCCTACAGCAGAAGCCGTTGCCCACACACAGAGGTGATGGTCCAACCCTGCAAGAGCCTAGCCTTCAATCCAGGAGTCATCTGTAACAGAACATCCACCTGGATCCACTCAACATTGAGTCCTGCTGCACAGGAAACCATGCCGGAATATCAGCTCTGGGCACTACTCATGAATTAGGCTTCGAGAGATGAGCATCCTCATCACTTCATTGCTACCTGAGAGGGAGAAAGAGTGAAGGACTTAGCAGCAGCAAGTCTGAGGGCTCTCTAAGCTCTGAGCAGGTGTGCCAAGCCCCGCTCAGGGCAGTTATGGATTTAAACCAGGATTGTTGCTTTCATCGCTAGGAGGGATGGGATTATCAAAGACTTCTCCCCAAAGTATAAGAAAAGGTCAGAAAATAAGGAATCATATTTACTTAAATAACAACAACAAAAAAAAACAACTCTCCTGACAGGGTAAAAACATATTATGTAAAAAAGGGAGACTATATAAAATTGTATCTATAGAATAAAAGCTGCCCTGGTGGTGCAGTGGTTAAAGTGCTCTGCTGCTGACCAAAAGGTCGGTGGTTTGAACCCACCAGCCGCTCTGAGGGAGAAAGATGTGGCTGTCTACTTTTGTAAAGATGAACAGCCTTGGAAACCCTATGGAGCAGTTCTACTCTGTCCTATAGGGTTACTATGAGTCGGAATAGACTTAATGGCAGTGGGTTTTTGGTTCTGAGTATGTATAGTATGATTCAGAGCCCTGATGGCACAGTGCTTAAGAGCTACGGCTGTTAACTAAAAGGTCGGCAGTCTGAATTCATCAGCAGCTCCTTGGAAACTCTATGGGGCAGTTCTACTCTGTCCTATAGAGTCGCTGTGAGTCGGAATGACTCGATGGCAAAAAGTTTGGTTTGTTTTTTTTATATAGTATGATTCGAATTAAAAAAAAAAATGTATCCACAAAAGCACATAAAAATGTCCAAAAGGAAAATATACCAAAATATTAATTCCAGATGTAGAAACATGAGTGAATTTTTATTTTTCCTATACTTTATACAAGTTTTCTACAATAATATATTATTTCTTTGGTTATCAAAAAATTAAATTTTAAAAGAAAAGCATTTTCCTTGAAAGGAGGGGATCAATAGTTTGCTTTATTTTTAGCAATGGCCATTAATGCAAAGAGAAATATGAGCCCCCTTGAAGAATGAGTAATCACACAATATGAAATAAAACTAAATCTAAAATTTCAGATTTTATCCAAAAGCAAAGTCCATGATGAAACAAACTAATAAAGTGGTCAGTGCCCCAATTTTTCTACAAGTGGATGATGGTGTGGTCTGAAGGTAAACCTATTTGGCTTTTCCCATGATAGTAAGGTTAAAAGACAGAGTTAGAATGAAGGCGAAGTTTCCCATACTCAGTCTGGGTGAGAAGTATTTCCAGGAGTAACAGGAGAAATGACACTATGGGAAATGTAATGTGAGCATTAGGGATGAGACTGCAGCAGATTAAACCTGAAGCACACGATGAGGACATAGCACCAGAGCAGTAGGTCTCAAAGTCTGATTCCCAGGCAAGCAGCAGCGGCCTCACTTGAAAACTTGCTATAGCTGCAAATGCCCAGTCCCACCTCAGACCCATAGAATCAGAAACTCCATAGGTGGGGTCCAGCAAGCTGTGTTTGAACAAGTCCTCCAGGTGATTCTGATGCAAGCTCAAGTTTGAGAAGGATTGCTTTGAGACGCAGGGGAGGCCAACATGCTAACAGGCTTCTCCTTTCTAGGTATGCCCCTATTAAAGCAGCCCCACACTACTTCACTGAAAAGTCACTTACAGAAGCCTCTGCCCCATCTGCCTGTCCTACAGTTTAACAAACCCATTTACCACACTAGCTGGACCAGAGTCACGTTATTCAAGACTCAGTCACTGGCTGTAGAAAGTGAAGAAAGCCATGCCCTAAGCCTGACTCAATGCATTCGTATTTTCTGGCCTGAAGGTCTGTAGCTACCAAGAAGATACTTACATATTCATGATTTATTTTATTCAAAACCCATTACACTGTTGATACAGATATCTTTTAGACCATCTGGCAGATTATTTGTAGAGCTGCTGGTGATCATGTTGGCTCACATTTGCCGTTAATTACTGTATAGAAGTTCGGGAGCCCTGAGGACCAGGTACTTTGTAACAGTAAAGAATAATCACTGCTATGGTTTTCAAAGTGCCTTCTTATGTATTATCTGTTAGATCCTTCTCTCAAATATACAAAGAGAGAGGACTCAGAGTGATTAAATGACTTATCCATGGTGACAGAAAAGAGCCAAGACTAAAGTCTAGGATTCCTGACTCCCAAGCTGGTGCTTTCTATTGCACCAACAGGCCACGTCCACAGCAGGGATGGGGAAAGGAAGGAAAGAGGAAACCAAAACACAGGCAGGGCCCAATGGAACCCTGAGCACCAGTCAATCAGCATGGAGACAGACAGGCTGGGGAAGGTACTGATTCTGTAACCATTCTGAAAGGACAAGAATGACCTCTGGAGATTTTTACCTTCTAGGATTTGGTGGACTCTGGAGTCCCGCACATACTGTTGGACAGCATAGTCTTTCAGGTAGCCATATCCTCCATGCATCTGCAGAGCCTGGTTGCAGATCTGTAGGGAGACAGAGATTAGGTATCTTTGACTTTCCCCGAACTATGGGAAAGTGGCATCTCTCCCCACCCCTAGCCCAAATCCAGCAGCGTGTGTTAACTAATAAGAGGAAGAACAACCCACAGATAAACAGCCAAGCCCCGAGAGGGGCTCCGTGGTCTACATGCTCACAGACAACAAGTGAAGTTCACCTACTGAACCTGCAAGCTCCCATACCACAGACAACTCAGTCTTTCTTGCTGATCCTCTGCTGGGGAGGAGCTGCCCACAATCACCCTAGCTGGGAGTACATGAAGCTAAGGTACCATCTAGTGGCAATACAGCCTCAGTGTGGGAATGACTTTCCCCTTACATTTTAAACATGGCATGATGCAGAATTTGAACAAGAGGCTGCTCTGAACCTTCTAGAGGTAGTGTTTTATCTAGAATACAACCAAACAGCAGTCACATATTGAAATGTATAACGGCATGGAGCCGGCCTAAAAGCTAGCTATGAGAGCTCTTAGGCAGGCCTTTCATGGGTTAGTTTGCTGAGTTCCAAAGTTGACTTATGCCTCTCAACATCCCAGGAGAGCCAGAGGGCATTATCACTTACAGCAAAGCATTCATCTGTAGCAAAGAGCTTGGCCATGGAGCACAGGGCCACGGCATCCTCCCGCTCCTCCTGCAGAGCCACGGCTGCGTGGCGGACCATAAGCCGTGCGGCCACCAGCCTTGTTGCCATGTCGGCCAGTTTGAACTGCAGGTACTGCAGCAACAGGAAAAGAAGAGAACAGACAAGACGTGGGCTTAGACCACCACTGACCTGGGACCCTCCATGAAAAATCTCTAATGAAGTGTCTTTTCTAAGTGACCCAAAGCCTCAATCTCCTGCTCCCTCTACAGAGAAAGTTTATTGCTTTATAAGTTCTAAAGCCACTTCACTTGCCCTGTATTTTTTTAATATTATCATCTCCTTAAAAAAAGCGTCATCAACACAGACATCACAGCTTCACTCTCCCAGAGAATGTGGGCCACAGAAGAGATCTCATGGGCCACAAAGATTGGAAAGTAAATGCAGACACCTGGGAAGTTACCTGGTTACTAGCCAGAGGTTTTCCAAACTGCTTGCGAACATTAAGGTGGTCTCGGGTGAGGACGACTGAAGCATGAGCAGCCCCCAGAGAGCAGGAGGCTGGAAAGGAAGAGTGCTGATATTTCAATGAAGCCTGGAAGGGCAGTGCAGCATACCCCAGCCTATCACCTCCCAGCCTATCACTCCATGTTCTCACCAACATTGATTCTCCCTCCATTCAGTCCTTTCATGGCTATGAGGAAGCCTTGCCCCTCGCTCCCAATTCTGTTGGCCACAGGGACAGCACAGTCTTCAAAGATCACGGCTCGAGTTGGCTGGGAGTTCCACCCCACCTAGTAAAAAGCAAGGACTGTCTGGCTGCTCAATCAATCATTCACCCCTCAGGGCAGCATGCTCTGGTGCAAAGTCTGTGAAGTACAGATTCCATTATCCTGGGACTTAGACCCCTGAAAACTCAAAATGAGGAAAAATAAAAAGTATAAAGACTTGTCAACTGTCACAAGGAACCAATGGTTAGGCACTCAGCTGCTAACTGAAAGGTCAGTGCTTCAAATCCACCAGTGGCTCTGTGGGAGAAAAGACCTGGTGATCTGCTTCCACAGAGATTATAGCCTAGGAAACCCTATGGGGAAGTCCTACTGTCATACAGGGTCACTATGAGTTGGAATCGACTTGACGGCACACAACAACTCTCACGAAGATTTCTTTCAGTTAAAAATGTTTTTAAACATATTAAGAGAATCATTTTCTAATGTCTATCCTTCCCAAACCTATCGCCAATACTACTCACAATCTCTCTTAGGATTGGGATAGGAGATGCCCTCATTTTTGGTGCCTCTATGAGGACATTCTTTTATAATATAGACAAAATAAGGATTACTTGGAAAAGTTTACTTCTGAAAGCCTTATTAACAACAGCCACATCACCTTTAAACAGCAGTGCTAGTAAAAGATGTTACAGTCAGACCTGGGGGTGGGGGTAGGGGTGGGGGACAGCACACTACAACATCTGCTCTCTCATGGAGATGCAGAAATCAAGTGATGTGCAGGCACCAGCACATGAGAGCAGACTGTACTCATCTCTTCCTAACTTGGCCTTCAGTTCTATCATGCTGATAGTGTGAAATCAGCCATAATCTGAGTATTTATCCCACAAATATTGGCAAACACTACCAATGAGGATTTTCGCTTTTCAGAGAGCTGGTTTACCAGGAGATCACTGATAAGTCACAAGCTCAGAGAAAAATTTGAACACCTAAGATGTAGTCATGTTATAAAACTAACTAGCTGTATTTTTCATCTTTGGAAAAACCATTTGACTTCTTTGTGGCCTCAGTTATCCCTTATGTGAAATACGGGAGTTGGACCAGAAAGCGAGCAGAGCCCCTTTCTTCTAATACAGTCTTACTCAGATGTGACCTAATAAAGGTCCTCACTACTTGATCCCCTTCATCTCCTCTTCCAGGTACTCCAAGGCTTCAAAGAACTTTTAAGGCTGGGTGAGGCAGATTTTGAAAATCACTAGACTATATAACATCCACTAGTTCCCTTATAGCTCTGAAAACACTACTGCCTTCATGCCACTTTCTCATATAAAAACATAGCTCCATTTTTTTTGTTTATTGTTGTAGTTTAAGTGAAAGTTTACATTTCAAGTTAGTCTCTTATACTAAAATTTATACATAGTTATGTGACCCTCATTGCTCTCCCTATACTGTGACAGCACACTCCTCCTTTCCACCTGATTTCCCATGTCCATTCAACCAGCAACTAACCTTCTCTGCCTTCTCAACTCACCTCCAGACAGAAGCTGCCCATTTAGACTCATGTACCTACTTGAGCTAAGAAGCACACTCTTCACAAATATCATTTTATGTCCCACATTCCAGTCCAATCTTTGTCTGTAGAGTTGGCCTCAGGAATTTAGTTCTGGGTTGACAGAGAGTCTGGGGGCCATGCTTTCTGGGGTTCCTCCAGTCTCAGTCAGACCATTAAGTCTGGTCTTTTTACTAGAATTTGAGTTCTGCACCCCACCTTTCTCCTGCTCCA